CGCAACATCATGAATGGTGCTAGAGGTGAACCGTTCCCACATCCCCAGCAGTTCGTTTCTTGAAGAAAAAGGTGTATAGGAATCACATAGCAACAGGGGAGGGGAAAAGTTGTCACCTACAGTTGCATATCGATACAATGAACCTGATCTCAGTTGGAACCAAAACTGTGGCCCATACAAAAGGCTTACTAATCCTAATTCTTTAAAGGTCATCCTATGGATTTTGTCATTCATCTTAACTCATTCAGGTTTTCCCCAAATCAGTCTTCCTTAACGCTGTCTTTCAAGTATGTAGAATTTCCTATCCAGAGTGTTTTGACACACTAATGCAATAATAAAATATGATCTACACATTCTCTGTTTTACAAGATATAGATATGGGCAAGCTTCTGTAGAAATTCGTAGTGTTCCAAAAACTGAACCTGATGCTGTTGCTGAAATACTGCCATAGAATCATTTAGCTTGCAGAAGACGTTTAAGATCATGGAGTCCAACCATTAACCTAACACTGCCAAGTCCACCACTCAATCATGTCCCATGTATGCATGCAAATGATATAATTTTGATCAGTTTTGATTATTATAATTATAACCTTCAGAACACGCTTAGCTTTAAACTTTTATCACTGCACTTTTTAGTCAATGTCTTGACAGCAAAAAGTACATTGTATTTGAGAGCTTTTCCATGTTCTTTTAAGAGTTGCATTGCTCTGTGGGAAAGATCTGATGCTAACGCAAAAAAAAAAAATTGTGATTTTTACAGACAAATTAATTACATTTTTATTAACTATGGACTGTAAGAATAAATGAATGTTTTTAGCATTTTTAGTGCTTCCAAATAGTCATTTTTCATTAGTGCGGTGATTGACATTTGTTTCAGAATGTTCTAGGGAACAGTTGTCCAAAGAGACTAAATAATGAAAGTAAAATTTGCATTAAGAGTTGAATTACAGGTTCATTGTAGCCTAGTACATAATTATTAATTGGAATTGAAGACATTATTTTGTTTGGAAAGGAAAAATAGAAGTATTTGACACTTTGAAAGTGTCAGCATGAAGGCAATGCACCATGCCAACCGCAGATGGGAATATTGGTGAGTAATATGCTGCCGCCACTTTCTTTTTATGCTAGTAGAGAACCTTGTTTGTCCAAGCTGTTTGAAAATAGTCTGTGCCCTTTGTGTTTCACTGCACACTACTGTGCTATTGTTTGCATTTCATAGTCTGTTGAAATCAATTGAACATCAAGTAGAGCATAATTGTTGAGGGCACCTGGTGTACTTGATGCCACTAAGACTTCCTTTAAATATATCATGGATATTTTCATTACTTTGTTCTCTCTATGAAATCTACTGTTTATTTCTTTGTTTAAAATAAAAAAAAATTACTTTGGTTTGTTTAAAAGAACACAAGTGTTTGATAGGAACACATTTTGACATTCTGTATTCTTCCACTCCAGTCCAAGCAAATGAGATTTTATATATTATGTCTTATTATGCTTGAGATTTTTTTCCAAACAAATGGCTAATAAATGAAATGAACTTAAATGGAGAGCACATACAATTAATGAGCACATTGGACTTGTGGCCAGATTACAAATGATGCTATTGATACATATAACAAAGCAATATAGATGATGGATCTCTGACTACAATATAACTCTAATCAGTCAAGAAATATTGCTGGAAAGGCATTACATGGGTATTCATCACATGGTACTTTTTTTGCCAGAAAGCTGTTGTCCATCTTTTGAATGAGACTATTCAACTGGAGCTCAGAACATGAAGCTTACTTTGCTTCCTGAGCAGGCAGGCTCCACGCTGGCACTCCCTGGTCAGTTTCTAGGTGCTGGGACATTTGTCATGTCTTTTCTGACCCATTCTTTATTGTCTTATCTAACTAGAAGACTCTATTATGGTTATTAAGAGACTTCCAGAAAGATGTTCGTCAAGCAGAAGTTGTGCTGACAGAGTTTGCAGAATACCATGTATAGTTCTCAGTAATTCTTTCCATTCCCTTCACTTGACAAGAATAATACAAGATGAAAGAAGGGGCCCTCTACTTTTGCCCATCTGCTCCACTCTTGTGAGATCCCACCTGGAGTACTGCATCCAGATCTGGAGTCCCCAACATAAGAAAGACACTGACCTGCTGGAGCTTCTCCAGAGGAGAGCCACGAGGATGATCCGAGGGCTGGAGCACTTCTCCTATGAGGAGAGGCTGAGAGAGTTGGGGCTGTTCAGCCTGGAGAAGAGAAGGCTCCAGGGAGATCTTATTGCGGCCTTCCAGTCCCTAAAGGGGGCCTACAGGAGAGCTGGGGAAGGACTTTTTACTAGGGCATGTAGTGACAGGACGAGGGGGAATGGCTTTAAACTGGAAGAGGGCAGGTTTAGATTAAACATTAGGAAGAAGTTTTTCACTTTAAGGGTGGT